GCCACAAAAACAAAGCAGGCCCCCAGCGACCAGGATCCGAATTCCACCCCAAGGTTCATTCTGATTGTCAGACTTCCCTAACTGTAAAATTAGGATGGCCACAAAAACAAAGCAGGCCCCTAGTGACCAGGATCAGAATTCTACCCCAAGGTTCATTCTGATTGTCAGACTTTCCTAACTGTAACCAATACAAACAACCACAGCACCCCTCAGCCCCCGAAAAGAGTTCAGGCAAAAACAGCACACATACTCAAATAGAAACTCTGCCGCTTGTTCACTGGGGCACCATTCAGGGAGACTGAGCTTTACTCTGAAGCATTCACCTAGATAGTTAAGGACCTGCTTTTGTGTGGAACAGCCTTCTTCTGTTACCATCCTTAACATCTGGGAAACGGAGTTCCTAAAGAAAGAGTCATCTTCTTTTCCTCTGATGAGCTCCTGAAAAATCTGATAATCAGAAAAACTGACAAGTGCCTAGGGTAGGGAAAAAAAAGGTTTCTTTTTAGTCGTTCATTAACAATAAGCAAACCATTTCATTCATTTAGGAACATTTCTCTCCTCTATTTTCTGTTTTTGTTTTTTTTTTTTAAATACCCAAGAAAAATTAGCACTCCACTACTGCTGACTCGAAGTGAACTCTCCAAAGTAAAGCACCACTGGTGTGAAGGTCAGACATCAAGGCGGCCCCCAGTGATCCCCACCCTGGTATTCACAACCTTGCATGGTTTCCTCCCACAATCCATCAGGGCTGGCCTGTGTGACCAAGAGAATATGGCAAAAAGGACGATGAGAGACTTCCAAGGATAGGTCATAAAGGGCATTGCAGCCGCTGCCTTGTTCTCTCAGACAACTGTCTAAGGAAAGACAGACTCGAGCAGCATGTGGAAAGGCCCATGTGAAGGGGAACTGAGATCTCCCTCCAATAGTCAGCACTGACTTGCCAACCATGTGAGTGAACCACCTTGGAGGTGGATCTTCCAGCCCTGGTTAAGCCTTCAAAATGACTGCAGCCCCTACTGACATCACACAGCAACCTCATGAGACCCCAAGCCAGAACCACCCAGCCAAGGCATCCCCAAATTCCTGACCCACAGAAACTATGAGATAATGTTTATGGCTGTTTTGAGGTCATTTGTTCCAGAGCAGTAGACAGCTAGTATGACACATACTTTAGTAAGGAAAGCCCATCCAGTATACACAGGATTCTACCTCCAAAAACAATCTCTTCACAACAAAAAAAGCATATTCCTTAGATCATACCCTAAGTGCAAATCCCAAAGGAAGGAAAAACAGTTCTTTCCGGTAAATAAAGTTCAACATAACTGTGCCATTTTCCAAGTAGTGAAGGTTCATATTGACAGCGGAGTGCTCTTCCCTCACACAGTGCATTGAAACTCCTATTTAAACAAATAAGAGCATAACGTCAGAAACTCAGTAATAATATCACTGCTTCAATCACTATTTTCTCTGAATTATTTTACCCTTTTAGGAATAGAGTCTGTCATGGATTGAATTGTGTTCCCCCCCAAAAATGTGTGTATCAGTTTGGCTGGGCCATGATTCCTGGTACTATATGATTTTCCTATATGTTGTAAATCCTGCCTCTATGATGTTAATGAGGGAAGACGGGTGGCAGTTGTGTTAGTAAGGCAGGACTGGATCTACAAGATTGGAGTGTATCCTGAGGCAATCTCTTGAGATATAAAAGACAGACGTGAGCAGTGAGACAGGGGACCTCATACCATCAAGAAAGCAGTGCCATGAGCAGAGCACGTCCTTTGGACCAGGGTCCCTGTGCAAAGAAGCTCCCAGTCCGGGGGAACATTGATGAGAAGGCCAACAGTGAAAGACTTCCCCTGGAGCTGACACCCTTAGTTTGGACTTTTAGCCTACTTTGACTATGAGGAAATAAACTTATCTTCATCAAAACCATCCACTTGTGGTATTTCTGTTGTAGCAGCACTAGATAACTAAGACAGAGTCAAATCACTAAGTTAAGTTTAGCAAGACTGGCAACCAAAAACAAGTCCAGGCACTGCCAAATGTTCCACGGGGCAAAAACATCCTCAGCTGAGAACCATGGACATAAAGTAACTGAAGCTATGAAATAAACCAGACTTCAAAGCTTCCCTCAAGAGCAGAGACCACATCTCACAGCACTCTGTATCCCTAAAAATAAAAAAACAAACCTGATGCTGTCCAGTTGATTCCGACTCATGGCAACCCTATAGGACAGGGCAGAACTGCCCCACAGGCTTATAAGGAGCAGCTGGTGGATGTGAACTGCCGACCTTTTGGTTAGCAGCCGTAGCTCTTAACCACTGTGCTACCAGGGCTCTACAGCCCTAGCACCCTGCAAAGCCTGGTCATATAGCACTTGGCATCCCCAGCACCTTGTGGAGTCTGGTGAAGAGATGGTGGCTTGATCACAGTTCAAATGGAGAAAAGCTGAATTTTAGATTTCAGGTTTATTTCAGCTTCAAACAAAGACTACTAAGATGTGCTGCATTAACTGATGGAAAAGAGTGAGTAACTTTTTTAGCTTAACTGTTAAAGGATAAATCATTTAATTGTAGGGGTTGCCAAAGAATGCAGCATGCTGTCTTGTGAAGGCAGGCACTGTCACAATGAGTGCTCCAACAGAGGCCAGGGGGCTGCCAGCAGGGACCCCAGGCGAATGCCATGACAGCCTGAACCAGAAGACTTCTGGGGCCCACGCCCACCTCTGGCCAAGTCAGGCCAGCCTTCATCTTCATAGGCAGTAACGTAAATACATGTGCTCTTTCTGAAAAAATGAAGATAATAGAAAGTAGGCTTCTACGAAACCTTAACACAGAAATGCTTAATAGAAAACCAAAAACAAAAAATTATATATTATGGAAAAGTAACATCTTCAAAAAAAAAAACACTTTTCAAAAATGGTTTTTGAAATTTTCTAGAAGAATATTCCAGTAATCACTAGAACTTACCATACTGAGTATAGCCAGGCCCTCTACTTTTCCATTTTGGTCTTATCATTGCAATGGGGAAATTTCTCCGAGGCATAATCAACATTCGGATGACTTTTTCAATGCCATTGATTATAAAATAGCCTCCCATTTCCTGCCAAAGAGATGAATTAAAGTTTGTTAATAAGGGAAAATAAAGATATATTACTAACTATAAACATTAATCTTATTCCTAGTCAGATGTAGCACGACATGCAGAAGGACACACAGTAAAAGGGACTACTGATCCCTTGAAAGAAGGAGCCCTGGTGGTGCAGTGGCAAAAGCGCTTCGGTCGGAACCCACCAGCCAACATGTGGCAATCTGCTTCCGATCCCTTGAAAACAGATTCTCTCCGTGTGTGAATTAACAGTCTCCTCAAGCACATTAAGAAGGTTCTACGGACACAGAAAGATCCCTGAGTGGTGAAAAAGATTTGTGCTTGACTACTAACCTAAAGGTTGGCAGCCTGAAGCCATCCAGCGGAGCTGCAGAAGAAAGGCCTGGCGATCTGCTTCCATAAAAATTATTGCCAAGAAAACCATATGGAGCAGTTCTACTCTGTTAACACAGGGGGTTGCCATGAGTTGGCACTGACTCAACAGCAACTTTTTTTTTTTAATGTACATGGGAAAGAGGTATGGAAATAAATTAGGGTACTTCACTAGACAGGCTTGGCCTAAGGTACCTTTCTGCCCCCTAAAATGGCTTCAGTTTTCAAATGACATTTAAAGAAATACTCAAGAGAAAAATCTAAAGTCTAATCATTTTTCTTCCAGACAAATATGGTTCCCCAAACAACTTTAAAAACTTTTGATTGTATATGAAAACTCTATAAACAAGCAATCTGAATTAACTAAACAGGGAAATAGTTCTCATACTTCCAGCCATGACTACATGTCTGCAACGAGCACAACTACTATTCCTGGGCTGCCTACTATGAAGCAGACGCATCGCTCTAGGCGCCCCAATAGGTGAGCATTATAGTTAACCCCCGAGCAATGAGTGGAATAGTGACATTATTCCCAATTTCACAGGAGGAAACTGAGGCTCAGGGAGATTAAACTTCCAAAAACCACACAACTGGTAAGTGGAGCAGCAGGGATTCCAACCCAGATCTGACCCCGAAGCCCCTTTCCCACTGTATAACATGGTCTCCTGGCTGGAAGCATAGTCTGTGCATCTTCATTACTTCTACTCAATACTGCAAGGACACCTAACACAGATGAAAGAAATGCTGAAGGAAAGGTATGGTATATAAATTATTTAATATGCTCACTGAATCTTACTGGCAACAGAGCAGACATTTTAGACAAGCGTTTTTATCACTCAGAAAATTAGGGAAAACCTATCAATAATTCCCTCATAACAATCTTTTCTAATTATAGAACCTCTTTTTCATACTCTCTCTCATTTGATCCTCATCACGAGCCCTATACGTCTGCCCCGTTTTACCTATCCAGAAACTGAAGCAGAAGAAGAAAAAGTGACAACCACCGACAAGCTTCATGTCTTCTCACTCCCAAACCAGGGCTTTTCTATTCTGTCACATGGCTCCCTGCTGGATCCCTGCAATTACCTCTGCTTCCTCATGGTGCTCAATGAGGGCTTTGGGAGGAAGGCTGTGTAAGTTGCAAACCTTGGACTTCACCATGATAGGAACATAGCCAAGAAACTGTTTAATGATTCCTTTTGAGATTCCATTCACTGCCCAGCTGATATCAGCCTAAATGAAAACAAGAGGGAGAAAAATTTATTTAACGAAAGAAAATATTTGGATCTTCAAGAATAAATCAGAATTTTAAAATAAAGAGAAAAAAAGAACTGTAAATGCTTTAAGTTTAGAAGATGGGATCTCCTAGATAGTAGTACCAAGCAAAAAGAATTCAGGTATAAACTTTATTGGGTACCAGCCTATCATGGATTGAATTATGTCCCCCAAAAATGTGTGTATCAATTTGGCTGGGCCATGATTCCCAGTATTGTGTGGTTGTCCTCCATTTTGTGACTGTAATTTTACGTTAAAGAGGATTAGGATGAGACTGTAACACCTTTACTAAGATCAGATCCCTGATCCAATGTAAAGAGAGTTTCCTTGGAGTGTGGCCTGCACCACCTTTTATCTTACATGAGATAAAAGGACAGGGAAGCAAGCAGAGACAGGGGGACCTCATACCACCAAGAAAGCAGCGCTGGGAGCAGAGTGCTTTCTTTGGACCCAAGGTTCCTGTGCTGAGATGCTCCCAGACCAAGGGAAGATTGATGACAAGGACCTTCCTCCAGAGCTGACACAGAAAGTCTTCCCCTGGAGCCAGTGCCCTGAATTTGGACCTCGAGCCTACTGGACTGTGAGAGAATAAACTTCTCTTTGTAAAGCCATCCACTGGTGGTATTTTTGTTACAGCAGCACTAGATGACTAACACACAGCCTTGTATCAAAGAAGTGCAGTGTGAGAGCCATATACTCTGTCACTTGTACTCACTGTCAGCTTTCCCCGGTAAGTACTCTTCCGGCCCCGGCATTCTGCTGGGTAAACTTTGAGCTCTTTGCAGATGCTCCCTTTGGGAACTGTGGGTGAGCTGATGACAGCATCCACAATGGTAAGAGAGATACGCTCATCTTTAAAAGCAAATTCAAAGGGAGGTATAGCCTGAAATACAATTCACATGATTAATTACTTACATTTCCAAGGCATTTTCTCTCTAAGACTCTTTCAAATCCCATGTGTTCTACAAGCATTGATGCCTTTAATGCCAATATGACACGTCTAAAAAGGCTACAGCCTATCTACTCATAACCTCACTAAGTATCCAAAAGTATCATGCATAACTCAGGTTTTTGTTTTTTGTTTTGAGGGCCCACTATACGTCAGATACTATATTAGTTAGACTCTAGGGACACAGCTGTGAACAGAACTCTCCTGTCCTTGTGGAGCTCCTAGTGGGAAAGATACAGATAGTAAAACACATATACATTGATATCACGTGATGGTAAATCCTCTAGAAAATAAGGTAACACTACAGCGTCACTATGAGTCAGAATCACCTCAGCAGCAGTGGGTTTAATCCATTTATAAGGAGCCCTGGTGATGCAATGGCTAAGCACTCAGCTGCTAACTGAAAGGGGGGAGAAAAGACCTGGCAATCTGTTCTCGTCAAGATTACAACCTAGAAAACCCTACGGGGCAGTTCTACTCTGTCATATAGGGTAGCTATCAGTCGGAATCGACTTTACGGCACACAACAATCCACGTATTCCATCCACTTGGCAGAGACTGGTTCAGGTTAAGATTCAGTTCACAACTTTTACTCTAACTTTTACTTTTACTCTATTAAGTATGAACAACTTCTTGGCCTTAATGTCAGAATAATGAAAATGCTGAAAATTAAGCCAAGAATATGAATGAGGTCCTCCACCCTCAAGTGAGTGCAATTTACCAGTCACGAAGTGTGAGATGCTATACTAGATGTGGAGATACAAGAATAATTAAGATACCCATTAACCCGTTGCCGTCAAGTCAATTACGACTCATAGCAACCTCACAGGACAAAGTAGAACTGCTCCATAGGGTTTCCAAGGAGCAGCTGGTGGATTCAAACTGCTCACCTTTTGGTTAGCAGCCGAGCTCTTAACCACTGCACCACCAGGGCCCAATTAAGATACAATCACTATCTATTCTCAAGGAGCCAACAGACATTGGGTGCCAGCCCTTCTCATATACATCATGGTCTTCATTCTCCGACCCTCAACCCATCTAAAACACTTGATATTCCTGGCTCACTTAAAACTCTCAGATGGTTTCTTTCTTGCCTTTTCCACCCCTTCTCATTCCCTGGAAATTTACTGTAAAGCTCAACCCAATACTGGCCAATGCTCTTTATGCTTCATTTCCCTGAAAGACTATTTATAATCAAAGACAACTTCCATTTTATCATTATTTTTTAAGTCCTAAGGATCAACTCTAAATCTCCAACCATATTAACGTCTAACCCTTTCTACTATCACTTCAAACACATACATAAACCAAACATCTTCTTTCCCCCAAAACAAGTCCCCTAACTTGTGAGCCTCTATTTCTATCACTTCACCCACCTCCTAACATTGTCACAAAACCAACCACGTATTCTCTATACTGGAGCCCTGAATAGTGCAGTGGCTAAGAGCTACGGTGAGCTACGGCTGCTAACCAAAAAGGTCGGTACTTCGAATCCACCAGCCGCTCCTTGGAAACCCAATGGGGCAGTTCTACTCTGTCCTATAGGGTTGCTATGAGTCAGAATTGACTCGACGGCAATGGGTTTTTTGTTTTTTTTTTTATTCTCTATACCAGTAGATTTCAAAATGTAGTCTGACCCTTTCAGGGTGGTCCATGAGGTCAAAGCTATTTTCATAGTAATACTATGACATTATTTCTTTTTCACTCTCATTCTCATGCAAGCACAGTGGAGTTTTCCAGAGGCTACATGATGTGTAACGATGTCACCACTCTAGCAGTTAGTGGAATGTCTGTGTATTCTTATTTCTAAAATTTTCTAAGGTAAAGACTTTAAGGTATAAATATGTGCATTTTTAGAGATTAACTCAAGTTACCATGCTCTTACTAGTTATCTTGGGCTATACTTGCAATAATCTCTGCATCTTCATTACCATTCAAAAAATTGTTGTTTTGAAATTATGAATGATCCTGTGCCTACTTGGAAATACTAGTACATTTTTGTTGTCTATTTAAAAATTTTGAAACCTTTCCTAAATTTTTAAGTTTTATCTAAGGCTGCTGTTATTTTAGAATATTTTATTCTCAATTTTGTAATATATTTCATACTTAAGGGTAGATTGTTTAAAAAAAGGAGAATAGAAGATTCACTTTCTCAAGCCACAACTGATGCTGCTGAAAAGATGAATGTGACAGATCATCAGTTCTCTGACTCACAGAAGTGAGGAATGTACTTCTGAGAAACGGAATAAAACTGTCAATTCTGACTCATGGCGACCCTACAAGTACAGAGTAGAACTGCTCCATAGGGTTTTCAGAGTCGACTTGACAGCAATGTGTTTTTTTTTTTTTTTTTTGGTTTGGTCCTTTCAGAAGCAGATGGCCAGGACTGTCTTCCCAGGGGCCTCTGGGTGGTTTTCTCAGCTAGTAGTTGAGTGCTTAACCATTTGCGCCACCCACAGACTACTACTTGTTAACTAGATACATAATTTTCTCACAGACAGGATACAGTAAGACTTCAGACATGACAGAAGTATTTCCCATCAATTTTGACTTCCTCAAAAAGGTTAAGGAGCACTAATCTTCAAAGAAACCTCAATGGTTGCCACATTATCTGCAGAATAGAGTTCAAGTATCAAGAGACTGGCAATCAAAGACCTCCACATTCTCTCCATCCCTTTTTCTGACAACACAAATCCAACCTGCTCAGTGTCCCCTGAGTACGTGGCTCTGCTCCTTCACTTCCCTGGAAGGATGCATTCTCCTCTTCCTTTAAACTCAAACAGGTGGATTAGCTGCACCTCCTATGCTGCCCACAGTTCCTTACAAAACCCCTTGCCAGAGCCGGTTCTCAAGAATATTGGCACCTTCTTCCACCCCGTGATACTCAGCACTCACACCATACTGCCTCCTCCTCACCATTATGGGACCTAGGGCCTGGAGACACTGGAACGGTAATTAAAGGAGACCTTCTTCCCTCACCATCCTCACCTGAACTCTGGTGACGCATATGCTACCTAAAAAAGCTATTACTCTTTTTACACTTACTACACTTTTCTACTCAAAAGTATGTCCTACTTTCTTGGACACATTGTAAGAAATCTTGCCTTTATGACTCACTTATATCTTCCTCAACACCTGCCTAATTCGAGCAGGTGCCCAGTAGTTTCTCTTTAAAGTTCTAAGGAAAAAACTGGAAGATGACCTTATACTTCACATTACGACTAATTCGAAACCTTTGGAGGTAAGTCTTCAAGTAACAAAGAAGTCAGCGTTGTGAATGGTTGGGAAGCACACCCCAAACGGGTCACTTCCTCACTCTGACAACACCCACAATTTGTCTTTCAAAACATCACAGTTCGCAATCCCATATAAATCCGGAAATCACGAATACATCTTCCCCTACTCGACACGGCTCCAAGTCTCACGAGGCAAAGAACCGCGTGCCGTTTTACATTGTTTTGCTCTCTGGCGTTCCCCGGGGAACTTAAACGTAGCACGATCAAGGAGTTCAGTATTTGGGATTAAGTGGTGACCTCCCAGCCATCTCCCACGCACCGCTGTCCCGGCCCGCCCCCAACGCTCTCGACCCTCCCCATCCAGACCTCGCGCCTCACTCACCCATCCCCACCCCGCGCTCCCGGCCCTCCGCCTGCCAGCCCCCGGGCCTCGGCCACCACTCCGCCGACTCGCCTCCCTCCTCAGCCCCGCCGGCCCCTCTTCTCCGCCCGCCTCTAGCTTCATCTCGTGGCGGAAAACGGCGCCGGGGGAAGCGAGCGCTGAAGGGAACTCGGGAGGGCGCCGTGCTCACCTGCACTGCGAGGCTGAGTCCTTCTCGCACCGCGTAGTTGAAAGACTCAACATGTGCCCGCGTCAGCTCCTGCAACGCTGGCTTTTGCTGTTCCCGCGGGATCCCGTAAGAGGGGTCGGTCAAGTGCTTTAGGCTAGGCCCGCTAGGAAGGTTCCGCCACCGGCCCACGGGCTCCATGTGTCCGTCCGCCTGCACACTGAGCTCCAGGGCGGCTCTGCGTTCGTCAGGAAGCGCGGCCGGCGCCCGCGGCCTGCTAGGAAATGTAGTTCTTTCTTGTTCCGTCCGCTGTTGGCCGTACCTTTAGTGGGTCGACTTGGAACTAAAACCGTTGAGTGAAGGGGCCGGTTTAAAACTCTACAGAGCTTGAGTGTGGCCGGCCCGCCCGCCCCTTGTCTTCTCTTCCGCCACCCCACCCATCTTTCCTCTGCAAAAACACCGAAGGTGGACAATCGCTTCACGCTCAATTCAGCATGTGACCTCTTTGGCTCTCATTCGCTCACTCAGTCAAATAGGGACTGAGAGGAGCAGTCTTCAAGTATTTCCTTCTATTCTCTTGTCTGCTTTCCGATCCGAAGCTGATTATCACTCCGGGGCGACGCTCAGTTGGTGTGGCGGCTTCATCGAAAAAGCAGGTATTGGTGGTTCACCAGGCTGACTGCTCTCTCTGCCCAACTCTGGAATCGTGAAGGCCCATCACTGGTCGAGCAGTGACTGGCCCATGCTGTCCTTCTCCCGCCACCTGGACCGGAGTCCCAGGGGTTGGGGTGGGGCGAATAGGGAAGCCTTGCCTGGAGAAAGTGGGGAGGGGCCGGGCCGTCCAAAGGGACTTCCAGCCTTAAGATCTTTTGAGTCTCGACGAATCATCTCACCAGAATACGGGTTTATTAGGGAATGCTAGCAGATGTCTTTCAACTTCATCGTTTTGTGTGTGCTTTTTAAAAAAGTTTTATTGACTTATAATCACATACAATAAACTGCACATATTTAAAGTGTACTAGTTGCTCCTTATAAGCAAGGAGGGTGAGACTACGTCTCACATACTTTGGACATGTTATCAGGAGGGATCAGTCCCTGGAGAAGGACATCATGTGTGGTACAGTAGAGGGTCAGTGAAAAAGAAGAAGACCCTCAACGAGATAGATTGACACAGTGGCTGCAACAATGGGCTCAAGCGTAACGATTGTCAGGATGGCGCAGGACCGGGCAGTGTTTCATTCTGTTGTACACAGGGTCGCTATGAGTGGGAACCCACTCAACCACACCTAACAACAAGTTGATAAGTTTTGACATATGTATATGCTCATGAAGCCATCACCACAATTAAGATAATGAACTTATCCACCACTCCCAAAAGGGTCCTCCTGCCCTTCCTTCATTCCTACTCTTCTACTCAGATTCCTAGAAGGCAGGAGAATGAGGGGATTATTGCAGGAGCAATCATTCCCATAGCATACATAAACTCGTTGCTATTGAATTCGTTCCAACTCATGGCAATCTCACGTGTTACAGAGTAGAACTAAGCTCCATGGGATTTTCTTGGCTGTAATCTTCATGGAAGATCACCAGACCTTTCTTTTGAGGTGCCAGTAGGTGGGTTTGAACCACCAACATTTTGGTTAGTAGTCGGGCACATACCGTTTGCACCACCCAGGGATCTGGGTGTTTTGTTTTAAAAAAAAAAAAAAAAAAAAAAAAAACTCGGTTGATCCCTAGTCTCTTTTCAGCTACCACATCATTTCTTTGCTCCCCTTTAGAACAAGTCTTTAAAGGGTCAGCCATCCTCATTGCCTTCTCACTGCTCTTTTGTCACCTCCCACACACCCTTTAATCCACTCCACCTCACCACTCCACTTGGACTGCTTGTCAGTGACCTTCATCCTGACCTTTCAGCAGCATTTAACTCAGTTAACCATTCCTTGCTTCTTGAACACTTTCTTCACTTTCTTGCAAAACAACACTCTATCCTGGTTTTTCTCCCACCCCCTTCTAATCTCCACTGCCTTCCCGACCTCTGAATACTACAATGTCTCTAGGCTCAGTCCTAGCCTTTTTCTCTTCTGTTGCTGCATTCACTCCCTAGATGAGCTTATCAGCCCTTCCTACGCCCCTTGAGCCTCACCCTCTGCCTTGAACTCCAGATAAAACCAAAAAAACCAAACCCGTTGCCCTCAAGTCAATTCCGACTCATAGTGACCCTACAGGACAGGGTAGAACTGCCCCAAAAGGTTTCCAAGGAGCAGCTGGTATTCGAACTACCAACCCTCTTGGTTAACAGCCAAGCTCTTAATCACACGCCACCAGGTGACCTGGGTAAGTATACAATATTTAGTTCTTCACCCAACACCTTCCCTAGATATCAAATAGAGTCTCAAACTTCAGATGTCTAAAGTTTAAAGCAGCACCTCTCTCTCTCTCTCTCCTTCCACTTTTGAAACATTAGCTAATCTTGTGGACTCTATCTTTAAAACCTAACCTGAACTTGGCCAATTCTAACCACCTCCCTTGCTATCACTTTAGTTCAAGGGTTTCTCAACATCAGCACTATTGACATTTTGGGCCCGATAAGTCTTAGTTGTGGGGGCTGTCCTGTGGATTATAGGGTGTTTAGCTCCATCTCTGGCCTGTACCCACTAGATGGCAGTAGCATGCCCCAGTTGTGACAATCAAAGATAACTCCAGATGTTGCCAGATGTCTCCTGCGGGGTGGGCAAAATCATCCCTGGTTGAGAAACACTGCCCTAGTTGTAGCCAATGTCACCTTCTAATGGGTTTACTGCAACAATCTTCCACCTGGTCTCCCGGCTTCTATTCTTAAGTTTCAAAAATGTCATTCTGGCTGCTGTGTAGAAAATATGTGTAGACAAATCTTATATTATTCCCCTAGTTAGCTTAAACTCTCAAATGGCTTCCCATTCCCCTCAGAGTAAAATCAGATCTTTTAAAATCCTAAGAGGCCCTGCATGATTTGGACTCTGCCTACTGGCCCAAGCTCACCTTCTCCCAAAGCCCCCTTCATCCTCCACTCTAGTCTCACTGGCCTGCTCTGAAAATTCATTTTCCCTGAGAGCATGTGCACTTGCTCTTCCTTCTTCCCAGATGAATTTTCTTTCAAATCACGACCCACTTCCTCACCTCACTAAGGTTTCTGCTCATCTGTCACTGCCCCAGGGAGGCTCTCACAGACCCCAGCTGCCTAAACCTCCACCTCCACACTCTCCAGGTCCTTGCACCACTCTTATTTCTATTCATAGCATTTACTTAAAGGTATAGAGAGAAAGATAGATGGGTAGATAGATAAGGTTTTTGCTTATTGTTTGCTTCCCTGTCTACAATCACCAGATGGCATCATGCTTGAAGAAAACACTTTTTGCCTCCCTATCACACACTTTCCTCCCAAAGTGATCATTATGCTGTGTACCCTGCCTTTACCTATTGTAATAATAGCATGGAGTTTCATAGCCTACAAAGTGCTTTTACATATAAAAATGTAAAGAGATGTCTGGGCTGATATTTCTACACTTTCTAGAAAATCTTTGATAGGACTTACAGAAGCTGGAAAAAGTATCACTGCAAAGCTGTAATATACATATATACATATACATAGGTATGTATATTTTTTTCAGGTGAATGATTAAATCATACTTTTTTCCAGAAAAATGTGAACGTGGGTGTGAGATAGGGCTAAAAGAGGTGTGTGTGTGTGTGTGTGTGTGTGTGTGTGTGTGT